TGGAATATTTACCCACCTTCCCCGTTATTGCTGAGGGCTGCCCCCAGACATGGGTCAGGCTACTTTCTGACTGGAAGGAGCCACTGAGCAGAATGACAGGTGGTGGCAGCCATCAGCGTGTGGACAGGAATTCTGGGCCAGGGGTGGGGGTAGACACCGGCTGTGTCTGCCTCAGTGGCCCAGCGCTTCCCTGTCTTACCAGGTTGATGGTCCTCTCTGGTGTGAGGGCTCCTGCTTTTCAGGCTTTGGTCCAGTGTGTTTCTGTGCAAACTCACACATGGTGGCCCCTCCAGGCATCCCAGGTCAAGGTGTGTGATCCCTTCCAGGCATCCCAGGTCAAGGTGTGTGAGCTGAGCTGCAGGCAGAGTAAACACAAGCTGCACTCATGCTGTTGGCCAAGAACCCTTGGTTGGTGGACAAACTGCACAACTGTACTGGCTTCTCCCTGGTCATAGGCTGCCTGGGAGGTGTGTTCGGGGAGGCACCTGCAGCCATCTCTTTCTGGGATTGAGAAGCTTCTACAAGTTTGGCTTTGTTCCCCATGACTCCGAGACTCACAGAGCTGTGCCTCCTTGTCACCTGGAAACAAAAGCCTGGAAGAGAAACACTTGATAACCAGGGGCTGCTCTGGTCCCACCTCCCGCTCCTGATGCAGTAAGCAAACCACCTGCTCGAAGCAGGAAGGGAAAGGGGACATTCAGGAAGGAGAAAGTGCCACTGGGCCACATTCGTGGAATTCACCAACACATGGGGAACTCTGGGTCTGTGCATGGCTCCCTTCTAAGCACTTTTCATGCTCTGTCTTACCTGATTGTCTCCAGTTCCTCAGGACTGGTTCTATGATTAGCAGTATTTTACAGATGAGACTGAGGCTCAGAAAAGTTGAGCAACTTGTCTGATAACCTGCTGCTCTGAACACTGAGGGGCTGGGCAGGCAGTTTCCGTTGAAGGGTCAACCTGTGTCGTGAGGGATTTTTTCTCCTTGTTTGAAGCATCACACGTGTGCAACTGTGTGCACTTTGGGGGTCTGGCTTCTTTGTAAGCTTTATCTGTGTTGTGAGTTGTGGTTGTGCATTCTTTTCCATCATAGTGTGAACGTGTCAGAGTTTCTAAAGTCTTCCCTCCTGTGGATGGACATTGGGGGGGGGGTCACTTCTTTTGGACATAAGCTCTCAGTTCTCTTAGGTGAGGAGAAGAATGAGGTGGTCACAGGGCATTCACATGTGCAGGTTTTATGAATAATGCCAGTTTTAGTCAGTATAGTATATCCATTTCATGAGCAGCGTATGAGGGTTCTAGTTGCCATGTCCCCTCCAACCTGGCACTGTCAATCCTTTTCATTTCAACCACCCGTGGCTGGGTGGTGGTGGTGATGAGCTATTTTTGACATGAAACAAGACAGTGTCCCAAGGTCACTGCTTCCAACGAAGGTCAGCGCTTCCAGGGGCATGAGCCAGTCTTGTATGCCTAGCCTGATGAATGCTTCCAAGTGGGCAGAAGTGAGTTAGACATAAGTAAAATGCTAGGCTAATGAGATTCTTGGAAGATTTTGTCATTAGCTAGAAAGAGACTAGTGACGATGTCATTAACATATACACACCACGGGATGATGTTTACAATATCTAACAGCTAATTTGGTAGGGGGCACTGCCCAGTCACCATGGGACAGGCCAAGCGTGCAAACACCCTGTACTGGCTGGCTGCTCAGCCCTGTTCACAGGTCAGGATTTTAGTGGTTAAATAACGAAGCCAAGAAACCCGAGCAGAGCTGGCTGGTACGCAGTACACTGAAGCATCGCGCATAGGGGTACAGTTTCTCCCGATGGGGTTTGGGCAAATACTAATCCCGAGTATTACAGTCAGCATGAAAATACTGAAAAGTAAGACAAACTCCAGGTAAGGAACACAGTGAGAGGTGTGGGTCTCGCTAGCATGAGAGCTCATGTGTTCAAGGGAGGCGCGCGGGTGGAGAACTAGGGACCGGGGCTCTCGGGGTGGCAGCGGGTTAGGCCCCGGAGGCTCGAGGAGGGCACATTTCTCCAAAGTCACATTTTGCACCCACGGCAGGACTGCCAGGTCTAGCACCCCATGACGCAGCCACCTCCTTCTCTCCTTGCAAGGGACCGAGCCCCTAGCTGGGGCGCCCCGCGGCACCACGGGCCGGCCCGCCAAACTTATTACTACCTTCCCGGGACCGGGCCCAGAGAGCTGGGACGCGGGGCTCGAGCCACACTAGTTTCCCCGGAGAGCGACCAATCATCCTCCAGCTAAGTGCACGTCCCTACAAGGCTGCGTATGATTGGTTGAGTACGGGCCAATCGGTTAATCGGGCGCGCGGGGGCGGGGCTGTTGGACTGGCGGCACCTGGAGCTCCGGGTCCGGCTCGGGGTCGGGGTCAGGGTCAGGGTCAGGGTCCAGGGGCGGGGCGGAGGGAGAAGGGGTGGACGGCCAGGCTCGGGCAGCGAGCCTGTAGACAATGGTGTGAACGTGATTGTCAGCTATAAAGAGCGACCGTCGTGTGAGCCAGTCTCCGCTTTTATCGGATGGGTGGTCGTCGTCATCGCTACCATCATCATGGTGCTTTTTGAGTGGCCTCAGGCACTTCTGCCGGTCGTCGGGTCCGGTCCGGGCCCGAAGGCATGCACTCACTCCCAGAGCGCATTATGACAGGCAAGTGCGCCCCTGCCGCCTGCCCGCGGGCGCCCAGACCTCGGTCCCCGGCCCAGCGCGGCCGCCGGACCAGAGCCTCCCTTACATTGGCTTAAGCACAGAGAGGCAACTGATTGTTTCACAAAACTGACAATGTCAGCAGTAGGCCTTCAGGCACGGGTGAACGCAGTGCGCAAGGATAGTGGTCCTGGACCGTTCCTCCTGGTCTCCGGGGTTCCTTTCCTTTGTGGGGGCTTTCCATGTGGAGACAAGGTGATCACCAAGACCTCCTGAGCTTTACATGTTACCAGATTATCATCCCAGTAGTGAGTTCAGCCACCGGAACCACATAGACTGAGATGGGTATGGCCTCCCCAGGAAAACAGCAATGCTGTCGCTGCCCGATGGGGGCTGGTATGATGTGCAGGGCAATGCCCTCCAGTCCTGTCTTCACGCATCAGCTGGGAGAGTTGATGCTTGAATCTATTACTCTAACGAAATAGTCATATAAATAATTATTATGATAATAACAAAATACACGAACTCTTGTATCACTCATAGTTTCCAGGTTACAAAGCACTTTGACACCCCCACTGTCAAGGAAACGGGCTTTGTTTTATGTCTGATTTACACCTGCTGAAAACTCCACTTGGCCAGCACTGTGCTGGGGAGAGGGAAAGAGTAACACAGAGTCTCTGTAACCCCAAATAAAACCCCTACCTGGGCTTTTATACTGGAAGGAGTTTCTTTACAGTTTTGATAATGTTTTCCTTCAATATTTCAGTAAGCTGTGGGTTTCTGACAAAGTCATAGGTGGTGTGATTGGCAGCTTCAGGTCTTGGAAAGCTCTCATCAGGTTGGAACACTCCTGTCTTTTCTGGTGATCCAAGCACAAGTTTAGCTGGAGTATACTTGATGCTAGTTGGCTTGGGAACGCAGGGTTCCACCATAGCTGGTATCTGGCAGCCCCCAGACATTACTCGACCACACACCTTCCTCTGATGTCACCCCTTGAGCTCAGAAGGACAACCCCTCCCACCCATGAGATTTTATTAAAAAGAGTCTGTTCCTAGAAGACGGGCCCAGGCCCCTACCCTAGTACCCTGGCCTTTCAGTTTGTGCAACCCTGGAACTTTCTTTCTTTCTTTTTTTTGCAGTTTTTGGCCAGGGCTGGGTTTGAACCTGCCACCTCAGGCATATGGGGCCAGGGCCCTACTCCTTTGAGCCACAGGTGCTGCCCGACCCTGGAACTTTCTAAGCCTTCCTTTTTATTTGTTTTGAGACAGAGTCTTACTCTTTCACCCTGGGTCAAGTGCCATGGTGTCATAGCTCAGAGCAACCTCAAACTCTTGGGCTCAAGCAATCCTCTTGCCTCAGCCTCTGGAGTAGCTGGGACTACAGGCACCCACCGTGATACTCAGCTAGTTTTTCTATTTTTAGTAGAGAAGGGGTCTCGCTCTTGCCAAGGCTGGTCTTAAACTCCTGAGCTCAGGCAATCCACCCTCCGTGGCCTTCCAGAGTGTTGGGATTGCAGACATGAGCCACCACACCCAGCCTAGTTTTCCTTTTATTTTTTTCTAGGCAGAGTACATTTCAAACCTTTGGGGAAGATCTGCGCCTCACAGATCATTCGGTAAGGAATGCAAACTGTCAGCCACTTCGCCCCAACCCCCAGACACCCTGTGGGGCTGGAAGAGCAGAGAAGGGGTCCAAGAGCTCCATCTCTGGAGGATGTACCAGTCGTGAGAGCCTGTGGTAGTAAGCAGCCTCCACTGAGCCCTCAAATCACTATGCAGGGGCACCCGCTGCCCCCTCCACCTGCTTGGTTCTCATGACGCTCCACTGAGTTTAGGAGCCCTGGGGAGCTGACAGGCCACCTAAACCCCCTGGTTTGGGCATCAGCTTCTCCATCTGCCCCTCCCGTGATGACTGCCCCTCCCCCTGCCGTGGGCCTTTCAGGGGTCCCTTGGGATGGATGTGGAAGCCCTTGCAACCATGGAGCACACCACGAAGATGACACAGATGACCTAGAGGCAGCACTCATCCCCCCAGAGGCTTCTGGAGCTTGTGCTCTGTCCTTTTCAGAGGGGTCACGAAACTGGTTCAGTAATGGGCAGTAACTGGCTGAGAATCCCAGCACAGCTGCTCTCCAGAGCCCCCTCCAAATGACCTTGGAGGGCCTCAGGGTGAGGCCTGGTCACCCGCCTGTTTCTGAGCTGCTGCAGGAGCTGGGGGACCTGTCCCTGCCCCCGGCACTCTCACTCCGAGCATTGATCTGCTCTGCTAGAGTCCCCTGGTCCCCTGTGAGTGCAGTGTCATGTTCAATTCTGTCTTCTCTGGATCCTGCTCAGATGTACCCTGGCCCCTGCACTGTTCTCCGAGAGCCCATCTGCTGTGCGTGCCAGACCAAGTTCGGGGGCCATCTGCCCGTGCCCAGGGCTGAGGCGACACTGCCTTACTGGGTCCCTCTGTCCCTGAGACCTCGAAAGCAGGTAAGTGACTTAAACCAGGAGGTCTTCACCTAGGGTCGAGGGTGCACATCAGGACGTCAGACACCTCTCATAATTATAAATACTTTTTTGTTGTTATTTTTAATTCAGGTTAATGTGAAGGTACAAACAACTAGGTTACAATGTTTGCATTTGTTAGGTGGAGTCCCTCTTGTAGTTGTGTCCCATACCCAAAAGGTGTGCCCTATCCCTGTACATTATACCCATTAAGTGGGAGCACCCCCATCCCCTCCCTTTCTCCCCTCTCCCCTTCCCTCATTCCCCCTAAGCCGCATTTACAATTTTTATTTATTTATTTGGAGATGTAGTATCACTCTGTCACCCTAAGTAGAGTGCTATGGTATCATCACGGCTCACGGCAACCTCAAACTCTTGGGCTCAAGCCATCCTTTCTCCTCCCCTGAGCTGCACCTTCTCCCCAGGTGCCCCCTCACCTGGCTGTTCTTCTGTACTCTTGGCCAAGTCCTTTATAATAAATGGGTAAACCTGAGTAAAGTGTTTCCCTGGGTTCTGTGAACCACTCTAGCAAGTGAACTGAATCCAAGGAGGGGTTTGTGGGAACCCTGATTTATAGCTGGGACTTTTCGACTGGTGCTCAAAGTCGAGGGGGCCTTGTGGGACTGAGCCCTCACACCCTGGGGATCAGGTAGATGGGTCAGAGTTGAAATGATTATGGGCACCCCGCTGGTGTCTGCTGGCGCGCGACTCGGTAATCCAGTCGCGGTAATCCTTCCCCACTGGTGTCTGCTGGCGACTGGGAGTGTGTGTGTAACCCAGCACTTGGAATCAGAAGGGTTATGTTAATTGGTTTTGTTTTTCTTGTATTTCTGAGGGTTGGTTTTGGCGAAGTGGGATTTGTTAGAATGGCCTTGGCTGAGGGAAACGTGGTTTGGAAAGAGAAGGATGAAAGGGTTTGGGGATGAGGCGCCTTTGATTCCTGGGTGGCTGTGGGTCCGCATGGGTGGTGCTGCTGTGCTGTGCTCACTTTAACTCTGGACATCACCTGTGGGGTGGAAGGTGGGTCCTGCTCCCAGGAGCTGGTTCACCGATGCTCAAGGAGATGAAGCTAATAAGAAAAAAGCAAATGTTCAACCCCTAAATGAAATTTAAACAAAGAGTGTGGGTCCAACCTTGCCACTAGGTCCCTCTCAGGTCTCAGGGAGTTTTGGCCTCAGGCCCCCTGGGTAGACACCTGTGCTCTTTCCTTCTACAAGTGGCTGCTGCCCTCTTGTCAGACATCCATCAGTTACTGTCCCTTCTGAGGGGCATTCCAGCTGTCCGTCTCTGCTGATGTGTGCAAGGAACATTCTTGTGCCCAGGGCGCTTCACATGCACAAGCCCCCTGAGAGGGGGCGTTCCCAGGTCACAGGTGTGTCTGTCATCTTGGTAGACCTTGTCACAATGCCAGCAGAGCCCCATTCAGCTGAGAATGCCAAGGCCAGGGGTGCTGAGTGTTTTGCTCAAGGGCAATTGCTGGAGACTGCTGGGCTCAGGACAGGCCAGGTCTCCTGACGCCACCCTACGTGTTCTTCCTGGGTGTCACGCAGACATCCTACTGCCCAGGCCAGGGCAGATGGTGGGTGATGAGGGCATGCAGGCCATGGGGCCCTGTGTCCCCCACCCCTGGGAATGTCCTGAAGGGGAGACTGTGCTCCCATGGTGGGTCAGGGGCTTGTGGGCGGAGGGACGCAGGAGGAGCTCTTTGAGCCCAGCTGGGCTGTCGTGCGAGACTCCAGCTGCTGATGAACCCGTGGCTCCTTCCTCTTTGTTAGATCCCAAAGATGGTCCGGTTTTCTATCCCCCAAACTACCAAGATGTGCTCCTGCTCATGCCACAGCTTTGGGGGCCGCCTCCCAGTGCCGAGGGACCAGGCAGTGATGCCCTACTGGGTGCCCCAGGTCCTGAGGTCACAGAAGCAGGTGAGGAGGGCCAGCCTG